CAGCGGCTCAGGACGGAGGCAGCGCTTGCCGGAAACGTCGTCTCGGGAACCGTCGCCCAGATGCACGTTCCCTGCGAGCAGCACGGAAGCGGCTTCCGGGGTCCTGCGCCGACCCCGCCGAGCGCTGCCCTCCCGTCCCCCCGGGAGTGACGGACGTTGACGTTCATCACAACATCCTAATGCCGACGACTGGATCCGTGAAGGGGCAGGACTTGCCCGAGAAAAGCTCGTCCAGTTTCTAGCTCTGGGGACGCGGCCAAACAATGACCTTCGAGACGGCGTTTCAAGAACATTCCGTTCGCTCCTGTTCTCCGTCAACCTTTGACCCAATGATTTAACCACAGCTGTGTCCGCCTGTCCTGAGAGTTACCTGGGCTCAGGTGTTCGGCCGTGAACAACGCGCACAGGGCCCTCATGCCACCTTCGCTTCTTAGGATGGTGTTTCCATAGCAACGGGGCAGCGATGCAGAGACAGAGGCTCTGCGTCTGTGCTGGGCTGACTCGGGCGGCGTCTCACGTGTCCCCGTCACAGCTAGACCCAGCACGAGGACGCGTCCTCGGCCCCTCGTCCACCATCCGTGACCTCGGTCCAGTCCTGCCTCCTCGAGCAGCTCCGGCAGAAGCCCCCGACATGCTGCAGACGTGACGGCACCGTCGGAAACGACGGTCTGCTGGCGACGTGTCTGAACGCAGAGTTGAAGGGCCCCGAGGGACCGCGAAGGTCACCCTTCCGGGAAAGTCCCACACTCGCCTGTCTTCACGAGAAGCCCGCATGCTCCACGAGTGTGAAGCCGACTGTTCGTGTGCTAGAGCTTCCACAGGACAGCACTGAACACTGGGCACTCGAACGACCAGAATTTATTCTCTCGCCGTCCTGGAGGCTCGACGTTCGAGACCGAGGCCCAGCCGTGGGCAGGGCTGGTCCCTCCCGCGTCCTATGTCCTTAGCGTGTACACGGCTAAGTCTTCTCTCCGTGTGCTCACACGCACTTTCCTCCACGGACACACACATCCCCGCTGTGTCTGCCTCTTGTCACAGAGACGCCAGTCGTATTACATTAGGAGTACGGTAAATTACAACCTCTTAGGTTCCTTCCCTGGGGCCTGTGAATTAAACTGACGACGAACAGATTACAGGAGAAAAGGCATCTGTTTGTTTGCTGATGTAATATTTTTACACACGTGGGGGCTTCAAAGAAAAGAAATTAAATCCCAAAAGGCATTCATCTGGGGGGCTGATGTACATTTTAACAGAGGGCGACAGATTGTGCAGAAGGGGCCAGACAGAAGAACGGCAGGCTTGTGCCTCCTCACGGGTCCGTGGTGCGAGGGAGGGAACCACGGGTGGATAAAGTTTGCCCCGGGGATTACGGCGGAGCCTGTGCCGGCGGTGACGCTCACTGCGTTCACTTTCCGCTGCGGGCTGTGCTGTGCACCCCGCCTGGTGGGTGGCGGGTGCTGGGGACCGCAGAGGCGCACGGCTCGAAACGGAGGCCTCGGTCCCGCCCCGGGACCCGGGCCTGCGAGGTCGCCGTCCACGGC